AACCTTATGAATTCAATGTATCTCAAATTTTCTCTAAATTATGGCATAACTTTGGTTGCAAACTTGCTGTAGATAATTTTGATATATTTTTTAATAAGATAAAAACATGGCCACTTGAATTCATGACCTTTTTGTTGCTGGTTATTCAATTGAAGGCTATTATACTTATTACTTAAGAATATTATTATTCTTAAACTTGAACTAAAATATTTGTATTCTTAATATTAAGAATTTTAATATTTTAGTTTAAGCTACTTAATGATATTAAATAGCTCCTGCAGGTACTTGACTCCATCTATATTTTTTGTGCATTTAAATATTATCTAGTAATGAGATTAGACTCTTGACAATGTGTGAAGGAGAAATTTTTATTAATACTTTCAACATAAGCAGCCAAACAAATTTGATGCTTCTTTCATAAATGTCATAGGTTCGCCATCACTGATTAAAAATATTGTTTAAAAGTAAATTCAAATTGCATGTATTCATTAACCATAAATACGGACAGCAGTGTATTTATGGTCAATGAATTTGGCTCATTTTCTTTAATATTTAACCTGTTATTTGTTGGAAATTTTGTTATCAAGCTACTTTACTCCAGTCTTGGATTGGAATGTTAAATTACCCACTTATCTTTCCCTTTCGTAATTAGAAAAGATATTATCTTGTTTTTATACTTGGACTAAAAATTAGAAGTGTTGAAATTGTTCTAATATTTTAACTTGTAAAATTTTATAAATTTCTTTGTTTCTAATTATAAGAGGCTTATTGCCAATAAAAACTCACTTAACCTGGTTATTTGATATTGATCTTCCGAGTTGGCACCTCTTTTATTATAAAATGTGTGTTTAAATTATTGGATAAACTGAGATATTTTTTTAATTAAAATTTAATGTGTTTATTGTTTGTAAATAGATTATTACATTGTTGCTTCACTCTTACGATATTGTGTAGAGATGAAATCTTTACTGATAAAACATGATTTTTTGCTGTTTATGTTTGGTACAAAATAATGCATGTATTTGAACCAGTGGTGCATTGTTTTACTTTCATCTGTTTAATATCTATCTTTCTTTTTTATTGTTCTAATGTTAGTAACAGTCTTATTTTTAAGTGTTCATGTTCCTTTTTTACCAATCAATTTATATGTGCCAATTATATGTGATTTATTTTTCAATCCCCTCCCTGTGATTATGAATAAAATTATTTCCCATATTTGTATTTGCCTATATGTGTTCATACACATTGTATATCACTAAGTCACATTTACAATTTGAGTGAAATTATTTATATGATAGTGTATCTATACATACATAAAATGTGCTAATACTTTGTAGACTTATTTGTAATACAGTCTGAAATGAAATTTAATTGACACAATAATTTATGATTATTAGGGTTATTATTGTATATGTATGGTGAAATAAATACACTCACATATATGCATATCTATATATGTGTATGTGTATATATCCCTATTTTTTTTATGATAAGGTTCCTTTTATACCTTTTGATTTAGTTTGTTGCCTTATTCTTATTACTTTACTTACCTATATATATATAATATATAGTAAGTGTAAGTATTGCGATTGTGAAAATTTTTGAATCTGAGTTTTCAATGGAAATAGGTTTTGAGGTCTCCTGAGTCCAAATAACCATGCCCCGCAGAATGGTCTGTGTTTGTGTGTGTATGTGAATATTCTAGCTCAAAAATGAAAAGCTGTACGAAACTGATATTAGGTATTTGAGATAGGTATATGCCTGAGATGTTACAGCAACTGAATCATTGTATAATTAAGTGATCTTTAATATCATTTAGGTCTTATTCCCATTGATTTCACTTTACAGGGCTTAAATGCCTAATGTTCATGTACGTCTTCCTCTAAAGTACTTTTAATATGGTTTATTTAAAAAAATTAACTCTCGTTTATTGGCTGTAACTATAAAAAATGGCTAAATATGAAGTTTGAAAGAGTATGATAATTGGAAACTGGAGAAAAAAAGAAAAATGCTTAACAAGGTTGAAAATTAATCTCCAGAAATGACAGTCAGAAGGTATAGGTATCATAATTTAATTTTAGTAATCTATGCAATGGAAGATAACAGTTTAATAACTAATAGTCCTATGATACATAATCATTTATAGGTTAAATATTCAGATGTACTTTCAAATCTCTCTAGACACATATATGAGCCTTTCAGTTAACATAATGACTGACTTCAATTTCAACATTTTTGATTAAAGTAATTTTAATGATATTTCTCGTTGAAAAATTTATAACATCTATAAGAACAGTGAGTAAGTTTATTCCAGGCTAGGTGATTGCAGTGTTGAAATATAGAATTATGAATAAAGGTATACATTTTTCTACAAAAATATCACTAAAATTAATAATATAAAATATTGAAATTGAAGTTAAGTCATTCTGCGAACTGAAAGGTTCATATATCAACCGATTAATTTTTTTTGTGCTGAATTAGAAAAAAAATATGACAGTGGTATTAAATGAGTTATAATGTATAATAAAATATAAAAAAACCATAAAGCACTCTCAGTAAAGTAGGGCAAATAAATATTCGTTATGAACTAAGTTATATTCGTTTCTTGTTTCCTTTAGATATAAATACTTATAGAATTAAAAAATTGTCAATTTAACCACTTGATTTTCTTAGATTTGTTTTCCCGCCGTTTACAACTCCAATTTCAACATTCTTTATTATTAATTTAAGTGGTGTTTCTAGTTGCAAAATTTATACCTTTATTCACAATTCTCTATTTCATCACTGCAATAACCTACTCTGGAATCAACTTACTCACTGTCTGTTTAGATAACTTTTACAACTCGAAATATCACTAAAATGACATTACTAAAAAATGTTGGAATTGGAGTTAGTCATTCTGTCAACTGAAAGGCTCAGAGACTGAAGTTGTGTGGTTTATAAAACTAGATTTTCATTGCCCACTGTCGATATTATGAATAGACTTTTTGTAATTTTAATGGTTTGTTATCTTTAAGCTTTAGGCCCCGTTAAAACACACTTAAGAAATTTTATACTAGTCGAAAATTGCCAGAAAATAATTTCTATTCAAAGTAAGAGGGGTAAGTGAAAGTTGTATATTGTGTGCACTAAATTTTTTTTCTGGTTTTAAATATGATCTGCACAACAAATATTAAATGTTCAGACGCTATAGCTGCAACAAATCGACCGATTTAGATGATTTTTTTTATGATTTGTAGAGTATTTAATTGATTTTTTAACATTTATTTAATTGATAATTGATTTAATACCTGCATAAGGAATAAATAAATAGAAAGTCTCCATAGGTTTTTATTTTTTATCTCCATGTTTAATTTGTTTACGAAGGTCTGGTTTATGTATGTCATTTCGTGTAGGTATAGTTCATGTGGCCCTAAATTATTGCAAAATTTCGTGTAAATTGCTAAAGTCATGTTGAAGGGTCTTGGCTGTTATATAGTGGAAATTGTTTTTTTTTTTATTGTTATAAAAATTGGTATTTGGAGGTTTCACTAGATGCGAAATACATATCTGAACTTTGTTTCTCCTTAACAAAATATTAGAACCCACTTTGCTCCTTGTTTCGATAAAAATTGTTGAATTTCAATATTTTACTCATACTACAGCTGTGTGCCAAATATAAATTTGATGTAATAGAACTCTCCTGGAAAGTATAAACCGAAAATAAGTGTAAAAAAAAAAAAAATATCTGATATAACTGTTATTGATTTTTATGATTTTTTTTTTTACATTTTGTAGGGAATTTAGTAAGCTTTCAAATACTCATTTGTATGATGGACCGAAAATTGCCTATTTTTCGAGCTATTCACAAGTTGTGAATATATCAGTACTACGCACGACTTTTCGTTTTTGAGCTAGGCTGTTCACATACGCACACACACTGGGGCACTAGCGGATCCAGGATTTAATTTTGGGGGGGAGCTTCAGCCCGAAAGATTTTTTTTTCATAAATCTTCATAAAAATAATTTGAAAAAGAAAGAAAGAAATTAACAACCTATATGAAATGGTGTTAAGTGGTTCCTGAAGTCCTATTAAATGTAATTACAGGAACAAGAATACTTTAAGAGATAGTTTTTAATATTTTTTTCTGTAAAACATGGTTATATTTTACCATTTTGGGGGAGGGGGCTTCAGCCCGAAAGCCCCCCCGTAGATCCGCCTGTGCACTGGAGTATCCACAAGCGGGTTTCATGGCGCAAGTTTCACCATCAAAATGTTTGAGGAGGGCAAATTTTGACGGAGTTTTGAATTTTTTAGGGGAGGCACATTTCGACGGGGTTATGAATTTTCGTATTGAAAAAGTTTCAAACCAGGGGACAACAGAAAAGCGGAGTACATATCACGGAAAGTGTAATTGTGTATGACCTATGATTTTTAAAATTTTACTTTAACTTTCACTGCTTTAAGAAGAGAAGAGAAATAAAATATCTTAGGAAGAAGGGAGGGAGGTCATTATCGATATGTATGAAGATAGGCACCCCTGATCACACACACCGACCATTTTGCGGGATTTGGTTATTTGGACTCAAAGGATCTCAAAACTTGTATTTCCATTAAAATTAAAATTCGATATTTTTCACGATCGCAATATTTTCCCTTATTACACATTACATATATATAGGTAAGCGAAAGTAATAAGCAGCTAAAATTGGGTATTCATTAAAAAAAAAAAAAAAAAATCTTAACCTCAAATTTCCATCAAAACCCTTAGATATGTCAATGGATTTTGTAATTGCACTTTTCTTGTTTTAATCGGATCGACAATATATCTTTCGACAAAGGAACTTCTTCATCTATTTGTTCCAGTTCTTCACCAGATGCTTTCGTCATTTTGATTCTGCTTCACTAGTTTTGTTAGCGTAGTATTAATTGTACGGTATTAATTGTGATAAACGTGACAGTCCATGTGACCCTGGAGAACAGGGTGCACGGAGGCCAGGTAGTGGGGACTCCCCTTCACCGGACACCCGCCAGTAGCGGACCGACAACCTGCGATGATGGAACCCGTTGGCGAAAAGGACGACCAGCGGCTGATGGCCCTCTTCCGCGGCGAGAGGTCTGGGTTCCTGAGGGCCCAGGGGTGCCTCCTCCCGGCCGCCTTCCGCCAGTTCGACCTCCGCTCGCTGGCCCTCAGGCCTTCCGACGTGTGGATCGTCACCTTCCCCAGGTCCGGTAAGTGGTCTCAGCCCTCAGCTAAAGAAGGTTTTCCAACATCCAGGTGTTCAATTGTGGAAAATAACCTTTGAGCTCTTCTTGATTAATGTGCTTTTTGAGATATTGCACATTTTATCCTTCTCTCTCTCTCTCTCCGTCTCAGCGACTAAATACCTCGCCTTGAAAAAAATGTGTATATTCTTAAAAATTAGCATATTTATATAGCTATATAAAGGTGTCTAGTAATGAGTATTACAGTCCTAATGAACATTACTGACTTTTATTTTTACTTTCCTACCTATATTAGGTAAGGAAAGTATTGCAATCAGGTCAAATTTCCGACATGCGGTTTTCGACGGATCTATACGTTTCATAGCCCTCCGAAAACACCTTTTTAGCCTATCGTTTGAAAGGTAATTAAATTCCCTACAAAGCCATATAAAAATCGTTCATTTTGGACAACTATTAACGAAGTTACAACGATTCAATTCCCAATGAAACATTACGAGTTCATTTCCTGGTGTCAGAAAGGGGTGATCCCACAACCTTCACTATTTCCTCTACTTTAAATAGAAATTATTGTTTGACAATACTAAGCTATGACAAAAAGTTTTTGATCAGCAATATTAGCGAGTATTGAAATTTTTACACTGATCTACCTTAAGCCGGTTTCATTGCCTTAATTTATCAAATTAATCGTACTCAAATCTTTTTTTTTGATCAATTTTCAGGAAAATAAATTTAGTTCAAATTCTTTTTTGTTTCTTCATGAACATATGTGAAGATATAAAAACTTTTCTGAAATAGGTAGGAAAGTCGTGTGAGTGGACACACCAGATTTTTATTTTATAAATTCCTTTATGTTTCGGTATCTCGAAATGTGTATTTTAGTTTTATTCGATTAAAGATAATTATCAGTTCACCAACACACGTACATCCTTAATTTTTTAGTCTATTCGTCATGCAATATAATCAATTCTGATAACGCCTCTTATTTTCCGACCTCGATGTATCTTCCCACGAGAATGCTGCATTTGAAAAATCCTTTATTAACTCTTATTATTTTAAAATTTTATTCAGTGATTATGTTTTTAACTTTATATATTAGCAATGCGTCATCTTTGTTTCACAAGACTATTAATAATATTTTTCATTAAAATGAGATTATTGTTGCTTTTATGCAAGGGTGCCCATCTCTCCCAAGGTCGATGGAACATAACACCCCTTTCACACCCCTCCCAAGATATTTTATTGCTCTCTGCTTCTTAAAAACAGTGCAAACGAAAGTAAAACTTAAATATTCATAGATTATATACAATTACACATTCTGCGGTCTGTTCCATGCTTCCACTTGTTTTTTTATTTGTAACTTTTCAATTTGAAAATTCATAACCCCGTCGAAATGTGCCCCCTCAAAAATCGAAAACCCCATCAAAATGTGCCCCCTCATAAATTTTTGTGGAACAACTTGAGCCATGAAACGCCCTTCTGGACACCCCTGATTATATGTATTCTCTTTTTTTAAAGTTGTATCTCCATTTTCACATTTGTCAATTTTATTTTTGATCATTTAATCTATGATCTATGGTTTTTATTGTATTTTGACATATTTTATATAAAATCAGATGAATGTATTTTTTTCTTTTACACCTCTGGTTATACTTTCCTGGCACAGCAACTGTACTGAAATCAAAGTTGAGGTTTTGGCTCTATTTTATCTGATTACAGATTACAGCGAGGTTATTATTGCTTAGGTACTTGTGTTATTACATTATATACAATAATTTTAAATATATTTTTGTAACTGTCTCGAATATGTTATAACTTAAAATCAATTTAGCTTGTTGATATACGTAATTCATATTTCTTATGATGCAGGCATAATAATACTTGCACTGTATACTGGTTATTCAATTAAAATAAATAATTCAATTATTAATTATGTATGCATATAAATTAAAAACGCGGCGATCGATATCTTTACGTGCTGGCTGTTTATATGATGAGTGAAGCCATGATGGGTTGTTTGTTAGATGTTGCCGTCAGCTGACGTGATGAGTCGACTGTCCTTGGCATATTTCCCGCTGCATTCCATGTTACATCATTTCTGGTTTCTCTTGCTGCAATGATTCTATTTTCACTTTGTAATTGAGAACCAATTCGCTCTTATGCTCGATGAATTTAAAGAGCAAAATATTAGTGTTTTAAAATAGGATGAAACTTAATATTATAAGTTATTTGTTCATTTTATTTAACGTCATTATGTATTCCACTCAACGCATATGAAGCAATCCATCTGGGAGCCTCTACACTACAATGCCTCAATAGCAGGCAAAATATGTCTTGGAAGGTCAAAAAGCTGAATAATATTGAATCTACAAAGATACTTTAGAGCTGCACGCAGATAAATACAAATAAATAGCCCAAGATAGGCAGAGATGGAGCAGGCTTGTTAAGGCGGCAAAAGATCTACAAGGTCTGTAGTAAAGTCTACAGAAAAAAGATGTATTCCATCCCATAAGACATGGAGGACAGGCTATCCTTTAGGTTACCAACCTATTTCAATCAAAGTGAGAAAGATCAGATTTATTCGCGGAGGGGGTCCCATCCACATCAATTCCCTCCACCCTCAATCCCAAAAGTTTATTGTTCTTCTCCTCTTGAAAACGAAAGTAAATTAAATAAAAAAAAGTTGATCATATACAATTACACTTACTTTGTTATCTTTATATGTTTTACACTTGTTCTCTACTTTAAAAGTTGTTCAAAAGTGAAACCATAAGTCTCTCCCCCTCAGGGGTGCCCATCCCTCCCCAAAGTCGATGGCGCAAGAATCTACTCCCCTCCTCCTCCTCCCAAGATATTTTATTGCTCAACGTTTCTTAAAAACAGAGCAAAATTAGAAAAACATTGATTGCTGCAGTCTTCCATGTTTGCTCTTGTGTTTCCTTAGTCCGAAAATATATAACCCCATCGAAATTTGCCCCCACATAAATTCAAAAACCCATCAAAATATGCCCCACTCAAAAATTTTGATGGCGCAACTTACGCCATTCAAAACACCGTCAAAATGAGCCTCCCTCGAACATTTTGATGGCACAACTTGCAACCTTCTTCTGGGCAACCCTGCCAGTACGAAATCTAAATCAATCCTGCCAGATGGATGGGGGAATTTACCGTCAGTGGGTCACCGATTTCAACCAATTATTTTTCGGAATTACTTTTTTTATTTATTTATATAATATTTACAATTGTATACAAAAAATACATCTAGTAAATTCGCACATGGATATAATGACATGAAACTACCCATTGGTAGCACTCTAATAATATGTCTATATTAGGAGATCACGTGGCAACTTCTTTTCAGACGCCTCGGAGGGTTATCAGGAATTGAACAGGAAGCAAGGTTAGAAACAAGAAGAAGTTTATTATGGAAGGACAGATATCTGGATTGGGCCAAATCTGATACATAAGGAACATTAAGGTCATTATGGATGATTTTATTTGTAACAAAGTAAGGAGCATTGAGAATTTTACGAAGTATTTTAGATTGTCTTAGGTTCGGAGATACTAAGTACTGAATGTTTTCTTTACTTATTTTCTTTTTTCTATTGTTTTTATTTAGGCCAGGATAATATAACCATCTTTTAACTTTGCAATATTTTGTTACTCTCAAGGGGCTTTGTCTCAGAATAAAGTTATTTTCTATTCAGTAATTTTTTTTTTTTTTTTTTAGTAAAATATTGGACAAACAATGCGTTCGTTCCAATGGGCTCTAAGAGACTCGAAAAAAAAAAAATCATTTCAAACAAAATTTATGTGATTTATTTTTACCAAATTTTTAGGTGAGCCTTTCAGTTGTCAGAATGACTAACTTCAATTTCAACATTTTTGATTAAAGTAATTTTAATGATATTTCTAGTTGGGAATTTATGATATCTGTACGGACAGTGAGTAAGTTTATTCCAGGCTTGTTGATTGCAGTTTTGAAATATAGATAGAATTATGAATAAAGTTATAAATTTTCCTACTAAAAATATCACTAAAATTAATAATATAAAATATTGAAATCGGAGTTAGTCATTCTGTTAACTGAAATGCTCATATATCAATCGATTAATTTTTTTTGTGCTGAATTAGAAAAAAAATATGACTGTGGTATTAAATGAGTTATAATGTATAATAAAATATATAAAACCATAAGGCACTCTCAGTAAATAGTTGTTATCAAAAAGTAAGTTATATTCGTTTCTAGTTTCCTTTAGATATAAATACTTATAGAAATAAAAAATTGTCAATTTGACCACTTGATTTTCTTAGAAAATTTGTGTTCCGGCCGTTAGCTAAAACATTAATAATTTCTCAGAATTTTCTCTAAATCGAACGTTAGTACAACAGTTGGGAAACTAAATTACTGCTCTCCCAACTCATATCGATAACTTATACATTTTTTTCCTTTTTATGGTAGATATTAAGAATAACTTCTGAATCATTTTTATTTTATATCTTTAATTATAATTTGTTTATGCAGGTCGCGTTTGTACTATATAATTTATCGTAAAGAGTCCTAAATTTCAAATAATTTTTGTGTGAATCGGAGAACTCGTACTGAAGTTATAACAATTTTTGTGATTGTCGACTACAAAATTTCGAAGCGTTTCAAACAAAAACTTCGTGCAAAAAAATTTTGATTTTTCGATTGCTATAGAAATTCGTATTCAAGGGTTTTTAGAGGTGCGAAAAAAGAATATAAACTTTGTTTCTCCCTAAAGAAATATTTACTCCCAAATGGCTACGTCGGTTGATCGAAATTGTTCCCATACTATTTATCTACCTATAGATATATATATTTTTTTTTTATTACTGTTTTCTTGATTAAAAAAAAAATGTATTTTATGTTCAAACTTTTATTTCCGTAATTTAATAGCCTATATCTTATAGCAGATATTAAAACCTAAGATCTAGGTAAGGATATTATAGGTCTTACTAGAAACTTGACACTGCACGAGTCTTGT